GCATCGAGAATCAAAATTGGCACTTATCGATCTCGCACTGAAATTCATAAGGGCTCTGCTATAAAGTGTTGTGAACATTTTGAATTCACTGTATATACACATTTATGTTCATAATTTCCTTGTTACAAGTGTATGCGTTACAAATTGTTAGGTCATCCAGCAGGTCCTTTGCATCGTCCTGGTACAACTCCAGCATGTACGCCTGCATGTGCGGCATGGGAGAAAAGGGAAGTAAAAGAGATATGACCGGATGTTGGCTAAGTAGGAAAACAATTACTACAAACAATAACTAGCTTATTTATAGTTAATGACTTACCTGCACCATGGTGGTTAAAAGTGAAGAGTTTTCTTCTATCGGACTGAAGACCTTTTTAATCCCAAGTGAAATAAGACCAGGGTGATTCTCATTCCCAATCTTCGTGTACGTTTTTCCACTCCCAGTCTGCCCATATTCAAAGATGCATACGTTTTAACCGTCATAAGCCGATTGAATCATGGCCTACAGGTGGATGGAGGGTAGGAAAATCGGGATGTTTCTTAATGAGTCAAAGATGGGGTGTGAAAAGTCATTTGGAGAACTGCACCCAAGTTGCCACAGATGCGACTGTCATCAACGGCCGCAACCCCCTCTCTTTCCATTGTGCACTTACCTTGATGCCTTTGAACACATCCTCCTGTTCTGCTTCCGAGTCGTAGACGTGGTATGCTCGTCCTTGACCGTGACCACCCCCGTGTGACCCTCTTGTAACGGGCGGCATCGTGCAATTGCGTGGATGTTACCTTTTGAGTCTGCACGACGGCGGGCAACAGGAAACAAAAGATTTAAGAATGCACACATTAACTGCAAACATGCTGACAAACATTAACTGTAGCTATGCCATCAAAACCGCCGTCTTTAACTCCTGCCACATTGCATATGCACACTTTTCAAGAACGCTCACCTTCCATCTTGTTATGCAGCTTTAGTCGCTTCGAGCGCTCCTCCACGAACCGCTTCTTCAAAGTCTGTATCGTATGCACATAAAAAAGAGTAACATTCATTTTTCAATATGAATAATGTGGAGGTATGGTGGGTGCAGTAACAAGAAAGTTGAGAGGGAATTAAAAAAGCATAAGGAGAGGCAAATTGGTGGAGAAGAAGGAAAAAGGTGTCGAAGACAGACAATCAGGAGAGAAAAGCCTACAGGGCGGTAAAGGAACGAGCAGGTGGAAAAAAAAAAAAATCTAGGGGAGTGATAAGCAAACAACGAAATGGAGAAGGTAGGGGAGTGAGCTTGTAGAGGAGTGAGCTCTTAGTGGAATCAAGTGTACGGTAGTGAGCTAGTGATGAAATCAAGTGGTAGGGGAGTGAGCTAGAAAAGGAGTGAACTAGCAGAAAAGTGAATCTGTAGGAGCGTGAACTAGTGAGATAGCTGGTGAGTAAGCTAGTTAGGGAGCAAATGAGCAAGGGAGGGATCTAGCAGAACAGTGATCTATAAGGGGAATGAAGTAGCTGGAGAGTGAACTAGCAAGGGAGTGAACTAGTGCTTTAGCACAGAAAAGCGCTAATTGTGTAGTAGAGCAGCAAGCAGTGGGGGAGAGAAGCAAGAAGTGGGAGAGAGAAGCAAACAAAATGATGAGAGAAGCAAAACTCACAGATTATGTTAGAGTGTGATAGTGGAAGGACAATTAACGTAAGCATGGTTTTGCATTTCGTTTTCTTGTTGCGTTGCGTTCATCTTGCATCACTTAATTAACCTTCTCTGATGCTTCCAGCTCCTCCACCCTCTTGCGTGTCTTCTGTAACTCTGACTCCATTTGCTCGTCTCTCGTCTGATCCGTAGCTACGTACGCTGTTGCTCTTGCTTGTTGCTCCAAGGCTTGTTTCTCCGCCTTATATTGAGAGTGAAATGGGTTAAGAACAGAAGGAAGGAAGGAAAGGGAGGGAGGGAGGATGGGAGAGAGGGAGGGAGGAAGGAAGAAAGAAGCAGCGCAGATTATGGAACATAACAATAGTTCGAATGGAAATGGGTTACGAAATATATAAGCAGCATATAAATAGTATGTGATTTGTCCATAGAAAGCATATTGATACACACCTATGCAGCCTCTTTCTTAAGAGCTGACAACTCAGCTTGAAGACAAGGCACCTGCAATTTGGGGGGTTGCAGAAAAGGTTGTAAAGCATATGCGCTACGACAACGGTTCACACATGCACGTGCACAGATGCATACTCCTTCCGTATCTGAGCTGACAGGGTAAAAAAGAAAACGGGATGGAATTATTGCAATCGTGGGATTAAAGAATGAATAGGCACTATGCCCATTTAATAAGCGTGTGCGAATAGTAGGGAGGGAGGGAGGGAGGGAGGGAGGGAGGGAGGGAGGGAGGGAGGAGGGGGAGGGGAGGGAGGGGGGGAGGGGGGGAGAGGGAGGGAGGGAGGAGGGAGGGAGGGAGGGAGGGAGGGAGGGAGGGAGGGAGGGAGGGAGGGAGGGAGGGAGGGAAGAAGGAAGGAGGAAACGGCACAGATTATGAAACATAACGATAGTTCGAACGGAAATGGATTATGAAATACATAAGCATCATATAAATAATACGTGATCTGTCCATGGAAAGCATATTAATATACACCTTTGTGTTGATTACTATTGAGACTAGGAACCTCTAAACACACCTTTAATCACCACTCAGTTATCCCCACGGGGTCACCTCCAAGGGTCCTCGGGTGCCTGATAAAACCAGCCCCTAACCCAGGGTCCGTGTTTGTTAAGGGATTTTTCAAGTGTGATAACAATCGTGTGCTCTAGAGTAGTCACAAACTCCGTTGCGCAGCGTTAATTGACTGATTGGCTCGTGTGCAGAAAATTCTCCTCAGTCAATACGTCGATAGAGAATAATTCATTCCCAAAAAGTTGATCACGAACAAACGCAAGCACAGATTAATACTAGCCCACCAAAAGCAAAAGGAAACAGCCCACCAATATAATAGCTAGCACCATACTCCGAATTGCCAACTGTCTCCATACGAAATCAGTGGGAACATACTCGCCCACGCACAATTGTGTAACCCATACTTGCTCTTGAAATTCCATAAAAACGTGTGGTCGTTTGAGATCATGACAGCTCATGACCATACTTGACAGTTCATGAAATCACCTGATCAATTCGCGCAGTTACGCGACGAAATTGCGAATTCGTTGAAATTCTTCCTGCTCACTTCGCACCACCATCGAATGTAAATCGCGCACGTCGCAAAACACTCCGCGGCGAATTTCTTCTCGGCAGATGAAGACAAAGAGCTCGAGGGCCCCACGAAATCCAACCTGGACCCACGCGCGCCTGTCTTTACCCACGCGCCACTTTGCTGCCACACTCGCGCGTGTGGCTCCGAATTGAATTGCGGCCTCAGGCCGCGCGTGTGCCACGATTCGCACACGCTTACCTTTTTGGCGCTACACCCACGATTGCACCACAGGACTCGGGCTCATGGCCTCGAGCCTTGACCAGCACGAAAAGGTCAAACCAGCAAAAACACTCGACACTCAAATAAACACACACGGAAAATCATGCCAGCAAACATGAACAAACATGAACGTAACATAAACAGTCATGAACGAGCATGATCGTACATGAACGCTCATGAACAAACACGAATAGCATACGGACAGTCATGAACCACCTGCGAGTGACCATGAACACTCGGAACTTCACGCACATTCATGAAACAATACAAAAATACATGAAAACTCGGAACTCCTTGCATGCACACACGAAACGCAAGCGAACAGTCATGAAAACTCATGAACGCAGCCGCACACTAAAAAGCACATCACTCATGAACCGCTGAGGCGATTCACAAACCGTAAACGCCAAAATGAAAGCACACCAGTGCGCATTCCACACGACACAAATTACCTTAAAACGAATACCTTCAAATTTCACCTTGCTCGACGAATAGGCGACAGGTTGATGTGCAACATGCTTTTGCACCCAACACTTTGTAGCCTCTTCATTGTTTGCTGACAATTCAGCTTCAAGACGTAGCACCTGGTTGTGAGTTCTGCCAAGGCGACGAAGCCCCCTGTGCCGCCAGCTCCGAGGCCCTCGACAGTAGTCTCTGAAAATGCTCCTCCTTCCGAACACGTGGCTGCGGCAGCGGCGGAGTCTGGTCCTGCCACCCCGGTCCCTGCGCAGGCCGCCCCGACTGCTGCTCCTCTTCCGGTGGCTCCCCCGGGGCCTCGCGAGGATTCGCCGTCAGCTGGTCATGGGGTGCTTCCTGCAGGCGCGTCCTTCCCTGCGGCTGGCTCCCTGGCGCCCCCTGCTGGTGCTCAAGCCGCGAGTGTTCTTGCTCCAGGGGAGAACGTTCTCCCGCCTGCTGCTGTCCTTGAGTCGCCTGCTCCCGCGCCAGGCCTTCCCGGCCCTCCGCCTGCTGCCGCCCCTGGCGCGCTCGCTCCTGTCGCTGACTCGCCCGCAACTGCACCTGTTGGAGTCCCTGGCGCAACTGCACCGGTCTCGGCATCGTCCCAGCAGGCGGCCTCCGCCACCAATGGCGGCCCAGCTCCGCCGCTGGCACCTTCTGCTGTGGGACACCCTGCCCCTGCGGCCCTCCCTGTTGCGCAGACTGGCCAGCCCGTGCGCCAGTCGCGTCCCCATTCACCCGCGTCACAACAGGAGTGGCGGTCGTCCCGTCGCCGCCGCGATTCCCCCCGCCGTTATCAGCAGCCAGCGCAATGGCCTGCGCACCTCGGGGGCCAGGGGGACTGGAGGGGTCCTCGCGGGCGGGGGGGTGGGTATCGTCCGCCCATGACGATGGCAGACCTTCAGAGGGAGGTGTCGAGGGAGGTGTCGAGGGCCGTACGCGAGGAGAGGGCTGCGCAGAGTCAGAGTAGCTCGATGCGCGCCTTGCCGGCCCCCGAGATTCCTCGCCAGCCTGTGCTCCAGTCGCATCCCCCTCCAGTTGCCGCGCCTCCGCCACCAATTCTTCCTCCATGGCTGCCTTCCTTAAGAGGGGGCTGGATTTTTTATTTGGTGTGCCATTTGTCTTCGCTCCTCGTGTTGTCTCCCTTTCTCTCTCTCCATTGTTGTTGTTGTTGTTGTTGTTGTTGTTGTTGTTGTTGTTGTTGTTGTTGTTGTTGTTGTTGTTGTTGTTGTTGTTGTTGTTGTTGTTGTTGTTGTTGTTGTTTTTTTTTTTTTTGGCCAATAACAATATTATTCTATTAATCCACACAAAGGCATACAAGCCTAGACCTACACCATAACCAGCCCCTACGGCTGCCACCTTGTCCTGGCCCCCATGGCCTATACTACTCTCCAAGGCTCCTAACCAGCCTACGCACCACCGGTGCATCCACCTACGCCCCCCGGCATAGTGGCAAGGGGCGCCGCCCCATAGGTCCTCTCACACCAAGGGTGCGGGACCTTGTGCGCCACGCCCTCCCATAGGGCAATTGTTTGCCATATGGCCGGGCTGGCCGCAACGGAAACACACCCCCTTGAAGCGGGGCTCGTGGCAGCCCGCGGGTGGCATGCCCTTGCTTTCCGGTTCACCGTCTCGAGGAAGAAGGCGGCCTCCGCGGGCGAAGCCGGTACGTGCACGCTTGAGGGCCGTCACATCGGCTACCGCGAGCTTGTAAGAGCGGGACGTGAGCACGCTCTTGGCTTGGTACAGCTGGAACCGATCCGCCGCTTCGAAACCGGCCTCATCCGCCACCAAGAGCACCTCGAAGCGTTTGTTGATCAACGTTTCGATTTGCTCCACGTTGGAGAGCGCGCCCTCGACGTCGCCGTTTTGGAGCTTGAACTCGACGTGCCTCAGGTGAGCTTGAATTGCGGAGAACACCTCCGCCTGGTCGCGCATTCCCTTGCGCATGAAGGTAGTAGCTGCGGGTGTAGGGTTGAGTGGCGGGAGGGGAGGTGCGGGTGTAAGAATGCGACGACGAGCAAGGTTGTCGGGGGCCTCACCGTCTTCATTTTCCGAGTCGTCGCTGTCGTCGGGGATACGGGCTTGGGTTGGTGCCGGAGCCGGGGCGGGAGCAGGAGCAGCGTTGTTGGCGCGAGCAATTTTGGTGGAGCGGGGGGGCGCAACCGGTTCCTGCTGCTTTCCAATTTTAGCGGAAGCAGAAATATTTTCGGTTGAAGTTGCTGTAGTCGAAGGCGCATGCTGCTGCAATAACGAGATCAGCGCCTGCAGCTGCTGTGCAGTCAAAGGGGGGCGGGGCGGCGTTGACCGGGGTGACGTCAGCGGAGGGTGCCGCGCGCTGGCGTTTCTGGGTCGTGGGCCCGGATGGACCCGCGTCAGCGCCGGTCAAGACGGCCGCCGCGTCAGCGGCGGCCGTCGTCTTCTGCGCAGCACGCGCGTGCCTGCCAGGCACGCGCTCTTCAGCAGCAGCCACGCGCGACTGTACAACAGTCGCGCGTTCCTCAGGGGGGGTCCGAAGGGTGCCTCCGAGCAGGAGGTCGACCGCCGAGGGTCCCTCGCTTGAAATTTCTTCGGCGGGACGTTTTCCGCCGCGACGATCCGTTGTCCCGGCCGGAGTCGAGGTTTCCGCCGCGTTACCGGGGCTAGAAATGTTAGATTTGTCGCGGTTAAGTGCCGGATTGACCGGAGCCATCGTTGCGAGGTTGCGCTTAAAGATGTCGTTAAGGAGCGTTGATGGGGCAGTGAAGCGCGGAAGCGACTGAGTCTTCGCCAGTGTGGACGAGAACGAAATTAGAACTACAATTTTGAAAATGAAAACGTGGGTGGGGACGAATGTCCCCACGTCCCTCTTTTGTAGGCAAAAGAGGGTGAGTAGCGCTTCGGCGCTACCTTTGCTGTGTTGGCCACGTACCCCTTTTCACAATACAAAATTTTAGAAAGTGTTACATTTCATTACACTTTCAAAATTTATCATTTCTACAAGCCGCCACTAGGACGGTATCTTCCAGTTTTCCACAGTTGTGTTTGATGTTTTGAATGCTAGAGCTAGCTGGAAACACATAACAAATAGGGGAAACAGGGAACAGGGGAGAGGTGAAGGATGTTGATTAAAATAGAAGAACGATAATGCGGAATTCAACAAGTCTCAAAGGTGGCACAGTGAATCAGAAACTATGAAGAAAGAAGTTACGATGCAGCTACGATCAGAAGAAATATACAAAAGAGGAAAATAATTACCGTAAAAAACTTCTCTGTTTTGCACCATCCAAGTATAAAAGACTGTAAGAAAATAAACGCCAAGGTTACAAGGTCCCAACGGCTTCTAATGGAAAAACAAAAGGTTTTCTTTCGTTCTCTAGCACACTCTCCCTCTCACTTTCTCTATCGCTTGCTTTGTCGCTACTTTTAGGCTCTCTCCTTCTCTCTCCCTCTCTCTTTCTCAAGATGATGCTCAAACACAAACTCCACAGTAAACTAGGTCTAAATGGTCCCTATAATAAAACGTTGAAAAGAATGTTAAGATGAAGATAAGTAGAACAGAAAGAACAAAGAACATAAACGGAAGAACGGAGGATATCATGCGAAAGGCAAAAAGGCGAAAGAATCCAATATAACACAATGAACATCTCTCTAACACTTGCTTGCTCGCTCATTAAAACAAAGGCAGTGAGGAAAGGAGAGAAGGCTAATGTGAGATATATTGTATTCATTTCTACCTACTTTGCACACTCATATTTTCCTTCACATTCTTCCAACTCTTTTCACGCTCACTTCCCTACACATAATCTCTATCTCTCACATTCTGTGCAAATCTGGTATTCTTCATCACGTAGTATTTTCGCACATCACTACTCTCTCTCTCTTTCACAGTCTAAACTCACCAATTTTCACCGACTTGCTCGTGCCTTTCTTTGCTACTGTAGCCGCGGATAATGCGCATGAGACTGAGCGTGGCGCACTCGCCTCTCGCGCGCCTGGCACCAGCAAAAAGACGCACGAGTGACTTGTACCGGCAAAACGGTGATAACGAGAGGATAAACAAAGGGAAATGAAGAAGAGAGACGAAGAAGGGAGGAAGAATAAAGAGAGGGGTGTGTCAAACATTATATGTGTTGGTTGCTGTTAGGCTACAGTGGGTTAGACCATATGGGGTACAGATCTCTAGGGTTTACTATTTGTACTGCCTTCCTTGTTAGTTCATTCATTCCAGTCCGTTCATTCTGACATGGTTTCAGAGCAGGTCCTTCGCTAGGACCTAACTTCTCTTCGGGCCCACCACTACCTACTACCTACTACCTACTAGCGCCCTCGTGCGCCCTACTATCGGAGTGCGCTTTAGCGCCTCCCCCCTTAGCGCCCTCGAGCGCTTTCTTTTTTTTTTTCCCGGCCCCGCTGGCCCCGTCGATCGCGCCCCGCTTAGAGGCCCCGCGGCCCCGTCGCGCCTCGCCTAGTGGCCCCGCGGCCCCGTCGAACTCACGCGCGCCCCGCTTACGGCCCCGTCGACCCCACGCGCACCCCGTGTAGAGGCCCCGCGGCCCCGTCGTCCGCCACCACACGGAGGCCCCGTCGACCCGCGCGCGCCCCGCTTACGGCCCCGTCGACCCCGCGCGCACCTCGTGTAGAGGCCCCGCGGCCCCGTCGCCCGCCACCACACGGCCCCTCGACCCCGCTGCGCCCCGCTTAGCGGCCCCACGGCCCCGTCGAGCCCCGCTTAGAGGCCCCGCGGCCCCGTCGCCCGCCACCACACGGCCCCTCGACCCCGCTGCGCCCCGCTTAGCGGCCCCACGGCCCCGTCGAGCCCCGCTTAGAGGCCCCCGCGACCCCGTCCCGCCCCTCTTAGCGGCTCCGCGCAGCCGCGCAGCCCGAACCGAGCCGCGCCGCCCTACCTGAACCGAGCCGCGCCGCCCGACCGAGCCGCGTCGACCGTTCTAGCAGCCCTGTTGATCCTACTGCTACTCCTACTGCTCCTACTGCTACTGTCACTATGGCTAGTCCGCCAGTTCTAGCTTTCGATGCCGAGGGCCGTCCAGTGAAGTTCGAAACCTGGCTCGATGACCTGCACCTGTTCCTACAGCTCACTGCCAAGGAAGATATCTCACTGTACGACCACGCCCTAGGCCATGCCACTGCCCCTGACTCGACTGCTGACAGCACTCTGCGTTCCCAGTGGCAGACCCGTGATGCGCATGCTCGCTTTGCTATTCGCAACTCCCTGCCGCTAGATGAACGCGAGCACTTCGGCCAGTGCAAGACTGCTAAGGACCTCTACACCGCTGTAGTTGCCCGCTACTCCTCACCCGCTTCTGCCACGCTAGGCCGCCTCACTCTCCCCTACCTGTTCCCCGACCTAGCCTCCTTTCACACTGTCGCAGACCTCATCACCCACCTTAAGACTAGTGAGGCCCGCTTTCGCGCTGCTATGCCTGCCGAGTTTCTCACTAGCAACCCCCCCCCACTCTGGATCACTCTCTACCACATCGTCACCCGCCTCCCTGACTCTCTGCGCGCAGTCAGGGACCACTTCCTCTCTCGCTCCCCCACTGAGCTCACTGTTGCCCTCCTCGAGAAGGAACTGCTTGCAGCTGAGGCGAGCATCGTCGCTGTAGGCACCTCTCGTGGCGACCCCCGCACCCCGTTCTTTGAGGGGTGTTCCCCTTCCCCCCTCCTCCCCTCTGTCACCTCTGCTGCTGCTGTCGACCTTCTTGGTGCTGAGAAGGTCGGGACCGCGTCTGCTTCGAGCGGGCGCCGCAGGAACAAAGGGGGCAGGGGTGGGGGTGGTGGCGGAGGAGGTGGGGGTGGAGGCGGTGGGAGTGGAGGCGCGGCTGGGGAGACTGGTGGCGGCAGTGGGGGAGGAGACAGCAGCGGTGGGAGTGGTGGTGGAGGCGGCAGCGGAGGCGGAGGTGGTCGTGGCGGCGGCAGGGGTGGAGGTGGCCGGGGCGGCGGCGGTGGGGGTGGTGGTCGTGGAGGCACTGGCGGAGGGCAGAGTCAGCAGCCCGCCCCGACGCTTCAGGCCGCCCGTGAGTGGTATGCGCAGCGTAGCGTTATCTGCACGTACGTCATTCGCACAGGTGACCGCAGCGGCCAGCAGTGTGGGAGGCCGCACCCCACGCAGCGCTGCTTCGCGCGCCTTAACGACGCGTGGCGCACTCAGTTTCCTGCTGCCACTGAGCTGCCGCGCTGGGCTGATCTGGAAAAGAGGGGTGTTGATATTTGGGCTTTAGACTTTGATGCTATTCTCACTGCCATGTATGCGATGTCTATTAGTGGAGAGGGTGCTCAGTACTTGCGTGTTCCGCCCGACCCGGGCATTCAGGCCAGTCCGGCTGCCGCTCTAGGTGCTAGTGCGTCTCCTCCCACAGGTCCTGGTGAGGCTGCTGCCCTAGGTGCTCGTGCGTCCGTCCCCCCTGGTACTGAGTCGACTGCAGCACTGCACACTTTCACACTGGACTCAGGTGCTTCTCGCTCCTTCTTTCGTGACCGCACTGTCCTTGAGCCACTAGCTCGGCCAGTTGCTGTCTCCCTTGCTGACCCCTCTGGGGGTCCGGTCATTGCGACCTCCTCCACTGTCCTTCCTTGTCCGGCGGTCCCGTCCGGCACGCTGTCAGGTCTCTACCTCCCCTCGTTCTCTACGAACTTGGTGGCAGGTAGTGCGCTCCAGGACGGGGGTGTTCACCAGTTCACCCCTGCCTACGAGCGCGTGACACACTGCACGTGTGCTCGGACGGGTCGCCACCTGGCTACCTTCACTCGGGAGCCGGGGTCGGACCTTTACACACTGACCACTGAGTCCCCTCAGGTAGCTGCGTCCGCGTCTGCGTCTGCGTCAGGTCAGCTGTCCGCCCCCTGCTCGTGTCGCTCTCTGACGCATGAGACTGTCCTTTGGCACCACCGCCTTGGTCACCCGTCTGTGCAGCGCCTTCGGGCCATGCACAAACGGGACCTTGTTGCTGGTCTTCCCAGGGTGCTCCCTCCCCTTCCCGACTCGCCTGCTCCTCCCTGTATTCCCTGTGTCGAGGGACGGCAGCGCGCCGCTCCTCACTCCTCCTCCTTTCCCCCGACGACTGCTCCCTTGCAGACGCTCCACATGGACGTGTGGGGCCCAGCCCGCGTCCGTGGACAGGGTCAGGAGAGGTACTTCCTGATTGTTGTTGACGACTTCTCGCGCTACACCACGGTCTTCCCCTTGCGCGCCAAGGGTGACGTCCCTGATGTCTTGATCCCTTGGATCCGCAGATCTCGTCTCCAGCTCCGTGAGCGTTTCCGCTCCGACTTCCCTGTCCTGCGTCTGCACTCTGACAGAGGTGGGGAGTTTTCCTCTGGCCTATTGGAGGCCTTCTGTCAGCAGGAGGGCATTGAGCAGTCGTACACGCTTCCGGCCTCTCCACAGCAGAATGGGGTTGCTGAGCGCCGCATTGGTCTGGTCATGGAGGTCGCTCGTACCTCCTTGAGCCATGCGGCTGCCCCTCATTTTCTGTGGCCGTTTGCAGTCCGATACGCTGCGCATCAGCTCAACCTCTGGCCCCGTGTCTCCTTGCCCGAGACTTCTCCGACACTGCGTTGGACGGGAGAGGCTGGCGATGCGTCGCGTTTTCGGGTCTGGGGATCCCGAGCTTTTGTCCGCGACACGTCCGCGGACAAGCTCTCCCGTCGCGCTGTCCCCTGCGTCTTCCTTGGCTTTGTCCCGGACGCCCCTGGCTGGCAGTTCTACCACCCCACCTCGCGTCGTGTCCTGGCCTCTCAGGACGTCACTTTTGACGAGTCCGTCCCCTACTACCGCCTCTTCCCCTACCACACTGCCCCGCTCCCCCCCCCGCCTCTCTTCCTCGCTCCAGGTGCTGAGGTACCAGACCCCCTCCCCCCTCAGGGTGCCGCTCCCTCAGGTGTGTCCCAGGTAGACCCGGGTGAGCCTGTCGAGGTAGCTGTTGACTCTCGTCCTGCTAGGGGTGCTGAGCCTGGGGGTGCTGCGTCTGGGGGTGCTGAGCCTGGGGGTGCTGCGTCTGGGGGTGCTGAGCCTGGGAGTGCTGAGTCTGGGGGTGCGGAGCCTGGGGGTGCTGAGCCAGGAGGTGCGGAGCCTGGAGGTGCTGAGCCTGGGGGTGCTGAGTCTGGGGGTGCTGAGTCTGGGGGTGCTGAGCCTGCGCGTGCTACACCTGGAGGAGCCCTCTCCTCCCAGCAGCTACAGGAGAGGTACCTCGAGTACTGCCGCCTCCGGAGAGGTGCTGCTGGAGCTCGTCCCGGTACTTCCCCTCCTACCCAGGAGCTCCCCCCCATTCAGCAGATCCGCGAGTGGTACACACGCCGCTGCAGTCTTCGGAGTGGTGCTCCTGGTGCTGCGGACCCTGGGGGTGGCACTGCTGCTGGTGCTGAGGACCCGGACGTTGGAGCTGCTGCTGGTGCTGCGGACCCGCCTGGTGGAGCTGCTGCTGGTGCTGAGGACTCGGACGTTGGAGCTGCTGCTGGAGCTGAGGACCCGGGCGGTGACGCTGCTGCTGGTGCTGAGGACTCGGACGGTGGAGCTGCTGCTGGAGCTGAGGACCCGGACGGTGGAGCTGCTGCTGGTGCTGAGGACTCGGACGGTGGAGC